GTGTGTCCTCCTTAGTGATATTTTATCATGTCAGAGCTACCTCCAAACATCTTCCTTATTCAAATGAGAAACTGAGATATGAAAGTCACTAAAAAACCTGGCTGGAGGTCATATAGTAGGCAGATGGCAGGGCTAAATTTGACCTTGGGGCTGTCTGGCTTCAAAATCTCCACTCTTTGCATCACACCTCCCTGTTTTCTATTACATGGATCTCCTGACCTCCATTTCTCAACATGGACCTTATATTTTAAGCTATTTTAAGAGATTTAAAACTGATTGTGATATATGGAAAAAGGCCCTGAGTGACAGGCACCAGTCTCTCCTGCACTTTGTTTGTTTGTTTGTTTTGGTACCTGGAATCAAATTCAGGACCTTGCCCTTGCCAGGCAGGAGTGGCACCACTGAACTATATCCCAGGCCCTCTTCTGCACTTTCTTTAGCCATTCTTCTCTTTCCCAGACACCTTCTACTCACCAAAACAAGAGCCCTGGAAAATCAGAACTGTCTTTCTTAGAAGGCAGATTAGTGCCCATCTCTAGAATGTAATCAAGACCCTCAGGAGTAGCCTCAAGCTTCCTTTCCCTTCCATGCCATACTGAAAAAAGCACTGGCTGCTTCTCTGTCCCATTTATGTGTAGCACCAAGGCAGGGGGCTGTTTCAAACAAAACTTTGTGTGGCCCATTTGAGTACAAAAGGGCCCGGTGTTGCTGCTAGAGCTTATTATCAGCATCACTCACCTGCCTGCCAAGAAAAGAGCAGAGAGAAAGGTGGAGAGGAAAATGGCCACTGCCCTCCAAGCAAGGACAGGTGCCTGAGGCCACCAGACAAGAGATTTTCCATCTGGTGTCACTGCTCAGGAGGAGAAGGGCCTGGGTAGTTGTAGCTCAGCTGGGGAGCTTAGACAGAGAAGCATGGGCTTGAGAAGGAACTTCATAGGTGTGAACCCGGGACTGGCTATGAATTTGTGGGTTCCAGTGTAAATAAAAACGCAGGGGTTCTTGTTCCAAAAGCAAGAAAACAGCACAAAGTTACTAAAACACAAGGCCTTTTCTTTTCTTCCGTTCTCATTCTCATTCTGTCTCTGTCCTTCTGTCTCTGTCCCTTTGTCTCTCTATCTCTGTTTCTCTCAACTTAGTATTTCAAACTCTCTGTGCACAGGGTTCTTGGGGAGACCCTTGTAGGCACCCAGGGCTTTGTTCTATGATTCATGGCTGTGTGCAGCCCCCTACCTTCTGGGTTCCCCTTCTTGCTACCCACAGGGCTGTCTTGGTATTCCTAGGGCAGGTGGTTGGGGATGGTGACCCCTGAGAGTTGTTATATCCTCAGTGCCAACCTGTACAGGTCAACTTGTCCTGCGTCCTAGTTGCTACCATCCAAGTGGGGTTAGAAAAGGGTAGTCAGGAGGGGCCTGAGGGTTCTAGGGGAAAAGGATGGGCAGCTGAAAACCCATCCCAGGGAAACCAGAGGGAGGGGAGCCCAGGCAAGAGCCCCCGGAGCATTCTCCATTGTCCCATCAGACTTCACTTACAAAACACAAATTCAAAGATAAAACTATTGAGAATTTCAACATAGTAACTGCAGAGTATTAAATCCCAAGAGTGTCCTTTCTGAGGAGAGGCCTTATCAGGCTGTGCTGGTGGTACCCAAGGCAATAAAGGTGACCCTTGCCAGGCTCATAAACTGAAGTGGATGAGAACGAAGGATTCCCCCATCCCAAGACTGTTTCGCTCACTCTAACCTGGTGTGTGGCCTCTCGGCCCCCTGGTTTTGTGCTGCTTTCCATGTTGTAGCTTTGTGCATAATGACAGCAACTTTTCTTTGTCCCCTCTTACCCCTCTTCTTTTTTTTCCTGAAAGCCTGTTTGTCTCCTTGCAGTTGGTGGGGCACAGGAGACCTTGAGGATATTCTGGGACAGAGGTGGCCCCACTTGGTGGTCCCAGAAACTTCCTGGCTTAGCTGAGATGGGTGAGTGGGGGCAGCACTCATGAAGTGGCTGGGCAGTGGATGTGGCTTTCCTCTAGGCCTGGCAGGCAGGAAGGTTTACTGGAAAAATTATGTATTTTTCTCAAATGTAGTATGGAGAGTTTTCTTTTGTTCTGTTTGATGGAATAGAGTTTAATAATGGCTAGAAGGCTAGTCTGGGCCATACAGAAGTAATACCATTTTAAAGGTTGGTCTAACTATATCTTCAAGTCCATGTTTATTTTTGTTTGTTTGTTTGTTTTTGTTTTTTTGGCACCGGGGATCAAACTTGGGACCTTGCGCTTGCAAGGCAGGGGTGGAACCACTGAGCTAAATCCCTGGCCCCCAAGTCCATGCTTTTTAGAAAAGAAAAAATGTGTGTATTCTTTTTTTTTTTGGTACCGGGGTTCAAACTCAGGTCCTTGCACTTGCTCAGCAGGCAGCAAAACCACTGAGCTAAATCCTTGGCCCAAAAGTGTGTATTCTTATCTAGGACTTAGTTTATAGGGAAATAAGAGGAAAATGACCCTCATTTGGTATCATGACTACCAGCAGCATAGACTGAATATCTTGGGTCCAGCCTTTGTTCTGCTATTGAGGTATGTTATAGCTTTCTGGTCTGTAGTCCATTTATCTTTGGATTTTCTGGGTTTTCCAGGCATTGTTACACCCACATTGTAGATGAGGAAACGGAGACCTAAGCAGTTGAGCAAGTTGCAAACACTCCTGTAGCGAGCTGCAGCTGGAGCAAGTTGCTATCCATTGAGTACAGACTGAGTTTGTTGCTTTACTTTCTAACTCAGGCCAAGATGCCTAATTCCTCATGGCCTGTCTGTGTGCATCTGACTGCAAGCACCTGCCCAGAAGATGGTGAGATCTGGGGGTATCTAGGACATTCTGGTGGTTGAGAGGCGTGCACATTTTGCATCAGAACTTCAGTGGAGACCCCTGGAGGAATGGCTGGCCCTTAGGTTGACAGGCCTTGAGGATCTGACTGTTCTAACACAGCTGTCCCTCCCTCATAGCCCACATGGATGCAGGTGGCATGGTGGCAGCAGGAAGCCGGAGGGGACAGCATTGTACATCATGTGTGCTTCGTGGTCAGCCTTGCCTGGATGACAGTGAAGAAGCACTGTGGGATAAAACAGGGGCAGCAGGGGCCAGTGTGGAGTCCCTGCATGCATCTATTTGGCTGTCCCAGGCCCCCCCGCCCCACGAATGGTCTATTCCCTTGGGGAAGGCTGCATGCTGGACCCCAGCGGATAAAGCATCTGAATTGGCACTTCCTGTCTGCATTAGAGACTGATTTATCTCAGGGGGGTCCCAAGACCAGCACTTGGAGAGGGAAGAGGGAGAGCAGCCAGCCACACATGGACAGACTAGCTGAGATGGCAAAGCTGGCAGGAGGGAGTCCAGCCTCGGGACCACAGTCTGCTGGCCAGCATGATAGATGAGCCTGGTGCTGGGACAGCAGAAAAGTAGCAGTGTCAGGCCATGAAAGGCAGAAAGATGAAGCCTCTGTATCCTGCCCTAACAGGGTAACTGCCAGCTGTGTGTGGCTATTTCAAGTAATGAAGATTAAATAAAAAATTCAATTCCTTGGTCTCATGAGTCACATGTCAAGTGCTCAATCACCATAAATGGCTGGTGGCTGCCAGATTGGACAATGCAATGTAAGACGATTCCATCACTGCAGAAAGTTCTATTTGAATCTAAGCGGTCTTGTTAATATTTTTATATTGATTGTGTGGTGAAATGGCATTTTGGATTCAGAGTATTAAGACATGGTATTAATATTAACTTCACCTGTTTCTTTTTACATTTTTTACTGTGGGTAGTAGAAACTAGTAAATTTTACTGGTGTGGTTCATATTTCTATTATAGATGGGTACTGGGATGCATCTCTATTTATTCATTGTTTTTATTTTTAAAAAATTTTTATTTTTTAAAAATTAATTTTATCGGTACATGTTAGGTATACAATATAATGACACTCATCATTGGGAATTTGCACCTTTGCATAATCTCTCTTGGTTCTTATTTTTTCCCCATTCCCCTGCCCTCCCTTCAACCCCTCCATCCCTCCCTATTTACAAAGACTTTGTTTCCATTTTTTCCTTTTCTCATATTAATTCCATTCACTTCTTTTCTTTACCCAACCCCTCTTCTTTCCCCTTTCCCTTTGCCCTTTTTCTTCCTATTTCACATTATCTATTTATGCCTTTTGATCCTTATTTACACTTTCAGTTTCTCACATCAGAGAAAATATTCAGTATTGTTCATTTTTTAAAAATACCACATCAGGGCCAGGGATTTAGCTCAGTGGTTTCACCGCCTGCTGCGCAAGTGCAAGGACCCAAGTTCGATCCCTGGTACCAAAAAAAAAAGAACTAAAAATACCACATCTATTCAGCGACATTCAGTTAGATGATGTCTGTAAAAACCTTTAGCCAGGTATGGTAACACATGCCTGTAATCCTAGCTACCCTGGAAGCTGAGGTAGGAGCATCTCAAGTTCCAGTCCATCCTGGGCAACTTAGCAAGACCCTGCCTCAAAATAAAATAAAAAGGGCTGGCGGTATAGCTCAGTGGATCACGACCCTGGTTTCAACCCTAGTACTGCAAAACACAAAACAAAACCAAACTCTTTCTCAACAGTAAAGGAGACAGAGGCAGCCCAGTTTAATGGGACAAGTACAAATTTGGAGCAGGAGAGATTCAGGTTCAAACTGCAGCTCCCTTCCCCTATTGGCTTTGTGATCTTGGAAACATTGGATGCGGTAGGTTTTCATCTGGAAAGTGTAGTTAGTGAGTGATTTGCCTCTCAGCCCTGATTTGAAGGTTACCGGAGGCAGTGTACATACTGCACTAGCCAGCTCCTGGGAATCCTCAGTCAGTGCCGGCTGCTGTTGTTCCCATTAGACCATTAGCATTTTTAGTAGGAAAGTGTAGGATGATCTGTTCTTCTACAGACCCCTCCCTTCAGCATCCCCTCCCAGCCCTCTGCCTAGCCCATGGGCCCAGCCTGGGTACTCACCTGCTGGCAGCTGCTGGCCCAGGAGGCCCGGAGGGTGCCCCAGCATCCTGAGCACTTGGCCTTGCTCTCCAGGAGAATCCGTAGTTCTGTCTCCAGCTCCTGGCTGACTTGCTCAAGGGCATGCACCTTGGCTATGTATCCCACCAGGCAGCCCCCTAGGTCCTCACCGGCAGCGTGGTCAGTATCCAGGCATGGAGCCGGCACCATGGCCAGGCCTGAGCTCCGCAGGCCCTGAAGGAAGACGCTGCTGATGCCCAGGGCCCGGCGAGTCACATGAGCACCCAGGCCACCTATGCACCCACTGGGTGCCATTCCTACATAGACCCCAGGGGCGCGGACAAGGCTGCCCACAACATTGGTTCTGGAGGCTGGGGGCCTCTCCAGAGGGGATGCTGACCGTGGGCCCCGGGAGGATGCCCTGTGCCTCTGGAGGGGCATGCTGGGGTTGGCACTGGGGAGCAAGCCCACCACCCCCCGCTGATCACTCATCACTTCTGCCTCTCTGGTGTCCAGCAGGCTTGTACAGTCCAGTGGGTTTTGGTTTCCAACCCCAGCATTCCTGTGGCCTGCTCATGGGCCTCTCTGGAAGCTCCTCCACCCCCAGTGCTCTTTGTATGCTACTTTCCATGCATTTCCATTGTTCACTGAGCCAAAAGGGAGACAGGTCCTGGCTGGGCTGTGTGCAGAGAGGCACTCATGCATCCTGTGATGCGAGGTATTATGCCCGGGCACCCAGATTGTTCTGCTGGTGTGGGGGAGGCTGGACAGTGCAGGCTGTGGGGATGGATCAACTAGGTTTGTGTATTTTACTGCCTAAGAGAGAGCAAAGTAGGCACCAAGCAGCCCCATTTCACAGATGAATAAACTGAGTCACTAGTGTGATGATCATTTTCCTCAACACTCAGATCACAAGCCAGGATCCAGTATAAGGGTTTCAGTGCTGCTCTCTGCATCCCTGTGTGTGCTGGTGTGTGTGAAAGTATGAATGTGAAGGTCATAGAGGCTGAGATGGACATGGACCAGCTGTGGCCCCAGGGACCTGAGCCTGCTGCTTCCTTCCTCTCCCTTAGCCTCTGCAGTGGTTCCAGGTTCCTCCCCAGCTCTTTTCTTCCTTTCCTTTCTCATCTCTGCCCTCTCAAACTCCGCCCTTCAGCTGCTTGACCTTGGCTGTGTCAATTCACCTCTCCAGACCTCACTTCCCTTGCTGGCCTGAGCTTGAACTCTCAGATGCAGCAGACATCAGATCCCAAGCAAGTTCAGGCCCCACACTGTTGGACATCTGCTGTGCTTTGTCCCTCACACCTCTGCTTCCCCATCTGTCAGAAAACAAATGAAAAGAAACACCCAAGAGTGTTTTTGGTAGGCTCCCCAGAATTGCGGCAAGTTAGGATTTGGTGAGACACGCTGGGTTTTAATTCCTGCCCCCTGCCTCCACTAAGTCATATTCTTAAGGGTCACACCCCCATCACTTCAGAAAGATTCCTCCAACCTCAGGATGACAACATGGACCTAAAGGTACAACATGGACTGCACGTAAGCTTTACTCCAGAGAAACCAGGCAGCCAAAATCCAGAGCTGAATATTTATCATAAATCCTGTACTGTGGGTGTGTATCTCAAACAAGAGATGGGGAAGGGAGCCAACTATGAATGAGTATTGAATCCATCCCAATGCTGTGCATGATTCTATTCTTTATTTCACTGAATTCTCAATTCAACCTCAGGAGATAGGGAAATATAGGGTTGACATTATATTGCTGTTTGGGCCGTGTACTGCACAACTTCGGAAATATTACCACATATCTCCAACTGGCTATTAACCCACTGTGTGATATAGACCTTGAGAACTGCAGTGATCCCATATCCAGAAAGTAGCTGAGATAAGGAAGCCTCTTCTGATCCTGTCCTGCACTCAACCACCCACAGAGCAGGGCACTGATCCAAGGTCACACAGGCCATATTAAAAAATCTGGTCACCTACTAGAATACTCTGTGTGTCCTTTCTTCCTGTTGATTAGGACACTACAACCCTCCCTCGCCTTTCCCCCTTTATGCATTGTCTATTTGATATGGCATAGGAGGTACTTTATAATATTAATGTGGGTTCTTTGATTAACAGATTAAGAGATCAACTAGATTAAAGTCTGATAGTAACCTGGTAAGTCTATATGTGACATCACTGCAGTGAAGAAGAATGGTACATGGTGCACTGGAGAATATGACAATAACATCCTTTTAATATAGGTGACACTGCTGGGCTGAGGATCTGCATTATGGTCAATTCCAGGATGTAGCATTCATGGCTAAATGAAGGACTCAAGCTACTCAACTGTTGGTAATGGTGTCATGCTTAAGCACTGTTATGGCACAGAATAGTAACTCAATGCTTAACTTTAGGTTTCTCCACCCAAAGATATTTACCATAAATCTACCAAACCCCGGGGACAGGGAAAATGTCTCCAAAGATCTGAAAAGAGGTGATTCTCATTTGGAGGAGTTACAAACATGTCCTAAAGGATCTGTTTCACTAAATGATAAACTGCTAGTCCTATTATCTCACCACACTCATAAAACCCAGCTTAATGTTAAATCAGATTAAAAAATACACACGGACATAAAATAGTATTGGTACTGTTTAAAAGGTGGCTTAAAAGTTATTTTAAAAATGAAAAGAAGGCAAAATGTATTAGCATCTTAATCATCTGGGTAATAAAATAAGTTTATTTATATATACATGGTAGCTGAATTCTGTGGATATGGAAAAATAAGTCATACATCCACAAATGTATATATAACATATGTATCTTTGATTACATATGTTATATATAAATTTTACTTTACAAACAGATTTCTTTCTATACTCACACATTGAAATATTCAATGCAATAGCTAACAGAAACATGATAAAGTTAAGAAGATCAGACAACAACATGTTAGAAAACAAATTTCAGCAACATTTAACCTGCTTCTTTGTGAGTTGAAGTCTTTGAAGAGAGATAACAAGAAAACTCATGTTTACTTCAGTTCATACAACAGTGAGAACACACATTTTTGAAGGCCATCTTTCTTTTTGAAAAGGAAAATATAGGAAGAAAGGAAAAATCATGGTGAGAAGACCACAGCGACAAACACAAACATACAAAGCAACATTCAAGTTTGATTCCCAATCTGACTATAAGAACATCTATATTCAAAATATACTATCAAACTATTTTTTTTAAGAGAAAAGAAGCATCAAAGCAGTTATCTTTTCTCCTAGACACTATTAGGGAAAAAATAGAGACGTGGCTGTGTCTGGAAGCCCCTCTTGTGTTGTAGGGAGTCAGACCCCTGTTGGCTGGCGGAGGCAGCCCAGTCTGGGGAGGGGACAGGAGAACAGAGCTGATGGCCAGTCCATGGGCTGACTGAGGCTGCCAGGCGGGATGGAATGGTGCTTTTCCCGAATGACTTGCTTGGGCAAACTTGTTCTTTTAAGACTGCAGGGGGAAGGTTTCAAAAATTACAGCTGTATGCTTGTTTCTGAGATAAACCATTCCTCAAAGGCACAATACCATTGCCTTTGCAGAAAGCAAAGCTAAACCTTGTAGATAAACTCTTGGCCCTTGAGGAAAGGCACACATTCTAAAGCTCTGGGGCTGGGATCTGTGTCTACACCCACCCAAGAGAAGGCATGGGGCTTCAACACAGATACGGGTATCAGAGGGGATGGAGAAAGGGGCTCTTCAAGGGAGCTCTTTAAAAATATTTTCTGCTGAAGGGGGCAGTCCTGTTGCTATTAAGGTGGCAGTCCCCTGTGAGTGATGTTAGGGGAATGCAGCTTTCAGATGCCCCACATCCCTGTGGATTCCTGAGGGCTGCCTGTTCCTGTCTGCTGGCCATAACTTATGTGGAATTGAAGCTGACAGTGTGACACTGTGAGGCTGCAGGTACTCCTCCTTGGGGGATGACATGTTCCCTTTTTCTGCTTTGAGCATCAGTCTGTGTCTTCTTTTTAGGTGGCCCAATTCCCTTCACTGTTGTGCCCAGGAGGGAGGAGATGGCCCAACACTGAATCTAGAGGAACCAGAGCTTGCAGAATCATGCAAAGGACAGTGCACTTGACCTTTTTAACTTTCAGCTTCTACAGGAAGTCCGTCTCTTCCCTCACCTGCCCTGGGCTGCTGGGGCCCCAAAGTGCTCAAGGACAGTTATTAAGAGAAGCAATCAATGCCACTGCTTTCCTTAGAAATACCTTTATTTTATAAAGCCACGGGTCATTCTGGAAAGTTTTGTTTTGTTTCATTTTTAAACCACACTTATAAAAAAGGTGTTGACAATTCTTAGGAAAAGAAGCTGAAAATGTTTCTCATTAAGTCAGGGTTACACAAAGGTTATATTTATAATATATATTTGTGTATTTATAATTTTTAAAGATGAAAAATAGGGAATGGCAAAGCGAAGGCTGCTGCAGTTAGATCTCAGACACTTGGTCATTTCCCACAAACAATGTTTCCTGACAGAAGGGGTTCACCAGGACCATCCCAGTGTCTCGGTAGTCGCCATTGGCTGGGGAGCGGGGCTCAGAGAGCTGGTCCTGCAGAGAGAGGGAGGACACCACATGAGCTGGGGAAGCTGTGAGAGGTGGCTGTTCCTAAAAAAATGCACACACAGGGACATGTATTTTGGGTTGCTTGGTCCCCATTTTCATCATCTCCATGGCCAGAGCTGAGGTGCAGTCTGCTCTGCTGTTCTTTCATGTTTTTATAGCAGCTTCCTCCCCCTGAATTACCCTGCCTTGAGTTGCTGGAGTTAGTGCTGCTGTCCTTGTTAAAGTCCAAGAGAACTTGCCCTGCAAGACACCTATAGCACGTGGTTTGCTGCCCTGCTGGGTGAAACTGGTCCACTTGGACCCCAGGTTCTACTTCCTGCCTCTTTCTCATAGATCTCTGGGAAACTCCTTTGCTTGTCCTTTCTGAACGTGCTTACAGTTCCACTTCTCTCCTTTCCTGTCACCCACGGGCCAGAGTCTGACAGACCTGTCAGACCTGAAGGTTCAATTCCCCTTCCCAAATCTTCCCCAAGCCTGTCAGAATTATTGCATTTTCTGTCACACTAGTGGTGCTGAGCTGAGTGTACTGGAATCTGTGTGACTGCACAATAGATTCAGCCTGTCTGCTCAACCTCAGGGTCAGAAGAGCCTAGAAAGTGGCAGTTCACTGCTTAGAAGCTAAGCTGGTTGCTTTGATTGAAACTACCAGGGACTGTAAGTACTTGTGGGGTGCTAAATGGCTGAACCCAGATTCAGGCAAGGTATTCATTTAAGGAAAAAAAAAAAGGAGAAAGAAAAAGCCAAGGTAGGGAAATAGAAAGGAGGGTAAATAGGAAGGAAGGTAGGTTATGAAAGAAATGGCACCTTATTCCAACACTAAGCAACTGAGGTTTCAGAATCTCCAGGACATTTCGGGACAAATGAACTCAAATCAACAACAGGCATAGTGTGCTAAATTATGCTATATTTGCTCAGAAATGCCTTCATTTTAAGAATCCATGATTAATTCTCTGAACTTTATTTCTAAGCAAAACATAGGCAAAAGATAATTTTTTTTTTTTGGTACTGGGGATCGAACTTGGGTCCTTGTGCTTGCACAACAGGCAGCGAAACCACTGAGCTAAATCCCTGGCACAAAAGATAATTCTTGAGAAAGATTTATTGCTTTATGCCTCAAAGGAGAGAAAAGAAGATATTCCACCGTTGATAAAATGTCTTTTTAGGAGACTGGAGTTTCCTTCAAAGGCTGTCCTGAGCTTAGCACTCATGAGGAGGTGGATCTGGGGCCAGTCTTTTAACAGGGAGAAACAGGGCAGCACATCAGAGAAGGACAGAAATTCCTTTTCTCTACTGTGCACTGGGCTGAACTGTGGGGGAATTCTGGAGGCTCAAGTTGGCTTGGCTTACAGTTCTCATAAAGCAAGTGTGAGCCAAGTGAACTGCCTATGTTTCATAGCATAAAAGAGATATTTAGAAAATGAAGAAGGCAAGAAAGGAGAAAAAGAGGAAGAGGAAGAGGAAAACACAAGAGAGAAAAGTCCCTAGCAGCTCCTGGGCAGTGCCATCTTGTCTGTCCAGCCCAAGATTTGTGCTTTGCTGTTTCATCAGCACAGAAGAGTGCAGGGAACCAGAGGAACTTGCTGAGGCAAAGCACTTGGCAGCCTCTAAAGCTGGTGGCTAAAGACAGCCAATGGGCACATATCCCGGGTTGCAAAATACAGTGGCATCTGCCCCCAGGCCCTGTGGTCACCCTGAGGATGGTCAGCAGTGCAGATGTCCTCAGTCTGCATCCTGCTTCCAGGATGTTTGTCTTTGCCTGTACACAGCATGAACTCAGAGAGTTGGAACAGAGTGTAATGTTTCTCTAAATAAAGAGGAGTAGACCGCTGGGAGGCAAACAGTGCTCAACTCTACTCTGAAGTTAAGCCAAGCTATTTGTTGTGGGTCCTGTGGTGTCCTTGTCCTTCTGCTCTGGAGCCCATGCCTGGCTGGGAGCCCTTTCCACCAGGCCCTCGGCTTATGCAGGATGGCAGTCCTGGTGCGCCATCGTCCTGGAACCATGGCTGTCTGTGGTACTCTGTGAGCAAGGACTTTCACAGTGTGCCCACCAGCACTGCTTTTTGGCTTTGGCTTTCATTTATGATTTTCAAAGAAAGTATCAGTGGTGTTAAAGTGGGGCCACTCTTGCCATGTTCCAGGTTTTCACTTACTGTGCCATAACATGTGTTCTGTCTCCACTTAAGGTTAATGCTACCATGAATCCTGTTCCCTCTGACTGTCCTTTGGTTAAAGTTTTTTTTTTTTGAGGGTACCGGGGGTCGAACTCAGCACCTTGCGCTTGCAAGGCAGGCGGCGGAACCGCTGAGCTAAATCCCCAGCCCTTAAGTTTTTTTTGAATGATATGCAGCAGGGGAATATCTGGTTCAAATGGAAGCTCTAATCCTAGTGTCTTTTTTTTGTTACCAGGGATTGAACTCGGGACCTTGCACTGGAAGGCAGGCACTGGAACCACTGAGCTAAATCCCCAGTCCTCTGGTTAAAATTGTTTATTTTTTAAATTTAAAAATTTTTTTTTAAAAAATTAAGAATCTACTGTGTGTTAGGCTCATTGTGGGAAATAAAATTTGTGGTTCATTCTTTTGATACACACTTACCAAGTATTTGCCATGTGTAAGGCACGGTTCTAGCTGCTGGGAATGGAGCAGGGAACACAACAAATGAGACTCCTGACCTCAGGCAGGTTATATCTGGGAAATACAGTGAATGCTTAAAGTTTAAAAAATTTATTACAGTAAAAAACACTGTTATTAATCCCCTCAAAATACTGCCCTTCACTTCAAACATGCTTATCACATCTTTCTTGCCACTTTCTGAATCAGTTCTGGAAGTCCTCTTTCATGAGTGTCTTTAGTTGCATTGTTGTGGCTGCCTTGATGCTGTGAATCTATTCAAAATATCTATATTTTGAAAAGTCATTTTGACTTTGGAGAAGAGCAAGAAGTTCCACAGTGTCAGATATGGTGAAAGACATACTATATTATTTTATGAGCCTACCTTTCTGTTGGACGGCACTTGGCAGCGGCATTCGCAGTATTTTTGATCATACCTCATAGAGACATTCATGAAAGAGGACTTCCAGAACTTCAGAAGGTAGCATGATGATAGGATAAGTGGGTTTGAAGTCAGGAGGAGTATTTTGAGAGGGATTAATGGCAATGTGTCTCTCACTATAATATTTAAAAATGAAAACAATCACTGTAATTTTTGATCACACCATGTGCTCTATCAGGAAGTTCATCAGGGGATAGAGAAGGACGCAGTATCTAGTGGTGAGAAGTGCTCTGAAGGAAAAAAAAACCTGGAGGGGATCAGAGAATGAGGCAGGGAGTTAATCAGTTTGGAGCAGTCAGGGAAGGGCAGGACGTGACGTTGGAACACAGACCTGAAGGAAGTGAGGGACTGAGGCATCCAGGAGAAAAGAATTTCTGAAAGGTGGGAGAGCAAAGCTGTGTGGGAGGAAGAGCAAAGAGGACAGCATGGCTAGGGGTGTGGAGTATTCGACAGAGAAGGGGCAGCGCCAGCTCAAGAAGAGTGTGTATGGAAAGAAGATTCGAGTTTTATTTACAGTGAAGAGGAGCCCTGTGAGAGTTCGGAGCCATGGGTGACACACTGTCTGGCTACTGTGTGGCTGTGGGGCCTTGCAGACTGAAGAGACAAGATGGTAGCCGGGAGCTCTGTGCGCAGAGCTTAGCTCAGCAGTGATGATGTGAGAGAGGAGGCTGCTCTGGACTGAGACAAAGCACTGTCTTCAGAAGAACCAATGGCATCTGCTGACAAACTGGCCACCAGGTGAGTTTTATGCCTGAGGGCGGCAGGCAGGCAGAGGGGAGTTGAGCTCATTCTTGGGCATGCTGAGGTCTGTTAGGCTCCTGCTGGGCAAGTGAGTATGGCGTTCAAGGGAGAGTCAAGGTTCCAGAGAGAAATTCAAGGCCAGCAGTGCAGATGGAATTTAAGTCATGCAGCTAAGTGGAAAGGAAAGAGGAGTCATCGTGGGACTGAGCCTGGGCATTCCAGTGATTAGAGGCTGGGGGACAACGAGGACTCAATAACTGAAATTGAGAAGGGGCTGCTGGGAGCAAGAGAACCAGAGAGGCTGGGGGCCTGCTACTGGGGTGGGGGTATGGTCGGCAATGTTGCTGTCAGGTAGAGTGCTCAGAACTGACTGCTGTGAGCAATGTGGAAGTGACTGGTTGTTCCACTGTGGAAAGAGCCATGCTGAATTATTATCAGACTGGCAGCCATGGAATCACAACCCTAATAAGCACTGTGATGAAGCAGCAGAGGGAGCTGAGGCCAGATGGCAGGAGAGCCAAGTCCAGCCCTGAGGAAGTGGCATTTAGGCTGGGCCCTGAATGATGGGTCTGGACAACACAGCAGGAGAGGAAGCAGCCCATCTACAGACCTGGAGTGGGAGTGATGTCACTTGGTGGCATGAAGGAACAAAAATAAACCCAAGGTGGCAGAAGCTTAGCAAATAAATGAGGGATAGAGAGAGGTATGATGCAAGGCCAGAATGTTGGGAGGGGATCCAGTCTGTGAAACACTCTGAACTTAACTTCAGGGCAGTGGGAAGCTGCAGAGGGCCTCTGAGCACAGGAGCGATATGACCACATTCCTGTCTGTACAAGCTCACTTCCTGGGCTGAGCTGCCCGGAGGATGGGCACAGACTCTTCTTGGCTCACCTACCTTACCTATGTCTTGGTCCTGGATCATCTCAACTGCATCGAAGTTGAACTACCTAGTTTTGGTTTGTCTTTCTGTCCAGTCACCCTTCCACCAAACCACCTTTCCTTTCCTTCCTTATCCATTCTGTGATCAATATGGAGCACCTTGACAGGCCGGGCAGCATAACCCTAAAACTACGTTGCCTAAAGTGGAGAGCTTTCAACTGACCCTTTGCTGCTCCAAGCGGCAGTCCAAACTCCCTGACACCCCATACAAGGTTGTGCCCAATCTGGCCCTGCACCCCTCTCCCTGGATCTGCCCTGCCCTGCAGCCCCTCTCCAGGAGAGAATGGAAGAGCACAGCTAGTAGTCAGGCCTGGTCCTGCAGGCCCACTCACACCTGGCCTGCCAGCCATCACAGGCAAATGGTCCTGTGTGGCTCCAGTGTCACATGCTGCCCCTGTGAGGCTACTTCCTCAATGCAGTGCCTGTGGATGCATTTATCTGCCCAGCACCTCTCCTGGGAAGGCTCCCTCCCCTGGGTTTCCAGCTCTGTGTCTGTTACTGTTCTCCATTGCCTCACATTTGTTTTCTGAGTGATGCTGGGGTCTATCTCCCAGCCACATCTGAGTATCTGAGTCTCCTGAGCAAGCTCTCAGTCACAGTCTCCTGACAGTGTTTGCCACAAAACAGGCCCTCAGTGATCAGGATTTACTTGTACCCAGACACCATAAATCCCAAGAAGAGTGCTGCCCAAACTTTAGCGTGCAGAAAGCACTTCTTGTTAAAAAGTCAACTCAAAACTGAGTGTGGTGATGTTTGAATGTAATCCCAGCATTTTGGGAGGCTGAGGCAGGAGGATCCCAAATTGGAGCCCCGTTGGGGCAATTTAGTGATCTAGTGAGACCCTGCCTCAAAATAAAAAATAAAAAGGAAAAAAAAATAAAAAGGACTGGGGACCCAGCTCAGTGTGAAGGTCCTGGGTTCAATCCTGTTACTTTCCCCCAATACAGACCCTGACTCAGGGGGCTAGGGCAGGGCCTGCAACCTCTGGCTGTTATGGCTGCTGCTGGCCCATGGACCACTGAAGTGCAGGCCTCAGAGATGAATGGACGGGCTCTGGCTCTCCTTGGGGCCTGTGTTTTTCCATGTAGCTGGGCCAGCACTTCCAGGGGGACCAAGGGCTGGGGCTCATCACCTCTGAGGTCTCCAGGGACTGGATCTCCCGTGGTAGCTCCACAGCGTGCCTGTTGAAGTAGTCCATGGTGATGGCGTTGTTCCAATAGCTCAGGTTATTCTCGGGGTTGGCTGTCTTCTTCCTCCTCATGCAGCATACTGTCAGCAAGACGGCTGTGGAGAGGAGAGGCCATGTCAGAGGAGGGCAGAGAGTGACTAGCTGAGCCAAGGTTGTGGGTGACAAGTGCAGGTCTCCAGGTGAAACTAAGGTGATACAGCATTCAGCCACTTACCCCATCATTTGTTTGTTCCTTCAACTAAATATCCCTCCACGATGATGCTTGCTTTGTGCCAGAACTATTAAAGGTGTTGGGGAGAAGAGGGCAGGAAAAAGGCCAAGCCTGCTTTGTTCCATAAACTTCCATCCTAGTGCATGTATGGGCGGGTGTGGAGGGACCAGTCAATATATAACGAAATAAACAAGGCAAATTCAGATGACCATTTGATGTAAACAAAATAGGACAACATGAGAGACAATGAGGGGAGCTGGGGAGAGATGGTTTAGAGGCATCATGGAAAGCTTCCCCGAAGGGCTGACTGCACAGCAAGGAGACTGGAATTTGAGGGAGAGCCAGCTGTGTGCAGGATGAGGGGTTGTTCCTGGAGGACAGCATGTGCACAGGGATGGGGTGGGGATGAGGAGAGGTACATGGGCAGGGCAGGAGCACCCTGGAGTGGGTATGGGGAGAAAGGGAGGAGATGAGACCAGAGTGTGTTAGGAGGCTGCCTTCAGGGGTCTCAGGGGGAAGGGATTTGCTTGGAATGGTCACTGCAGTGCTGCTCCTTCAGTTTGCACCCAGAAAAGGCCTTGCTCATGGGAGGAGGATCCCTGGAATCTGGCTACAGAGAAGGTGGGTATGCTGTGGGGTCATCTTGGCTGGAGTGGGAGGCAGAAAGAGGGGCAGGGCATAGTGAGCCTCATAAGAAGGCCCTTGACTTCCACAGAGTCTATAATGGCAGGGGCTCACTGAGCAAGATCCCTGGTTAAACAGTGTCTCTCTGGCCTGTCATCTATGTATGTGTATATGTGTGTCTGCAAAAGCTGTAGTTATACAGGACTTACGCTGCAGGCACATCAGAACTATTAATTCATTTAATTCCCCACCTAACCCCAAGGGGTCAGGACCATTAGGGTCCCTATTTTGCAGACCGGAAGCCTGAGGCTCAGAGAGGTAGTGACTTGCCTAAGGGCAACCCGGATACCTGGACTCCAAGTCTGAGCTCTTATGCATCTGTGGCTCTGCCTCAGACTGACTGAAAGCCCAGCCTGCACAGGTGGCCCGAGGACTCTCCACAGCTGGACTAAGCACACTGTGATGTGTGACTCCCTCTGTTCACCCTGACACTCACAGCTCAGGACAGAGGGCTGTGTCTGGATTTTGTTGATGAACTAGGGTGAACAGAGCACTGTCCAGGAAGCCTCCTGAGATCTGAGGTGACCTGTACAGATCACACACAGAATGGTGATGCCACAAGGTGACAGAAGCCCCTTGGGGAGAAGCAAGTGAGGATGGAGAACATCCTCCCCAGGTTCACCATCCCTGGTGATACCTGGTGTGGTGTGGGGCTGGGTGGACAGGGCTTTATCTGTGCTGGGAAACAGAGCCGAGGCCTGGCTGTTGGGAGGGGCCAGTGCCACCTACAGCAGCCTGAGTGTTTGGCCAGCATCTGGGTGCATGCTGAGGCATGGGGTAGCTGCAAAAGCTGGCACTTGTGTAGGCTGAGAGCCTAGAGCTCAGGCTCTGAGTGCTGATGGGGACATCCTTTCAGCTGTGGAAAGAAAGGAGGCAAGCAGAGGGCTGCAGAGCTCAGCTTGGAGACCTGCTCATATAGGCCACCTCCTTGTTCTGCAGGGGATACTGCCACTCAAAGTACCCAGCTGACTTGCTGCAGGTCAGAGGTTGGTGAGTGGCAGGGCCGACACAAGACCCCAAACCCCCTCTCTCCTTTTTCTCATGTCTTTATTCTTCCTTGTCACTACCTGTCACCCTGCTTCTGGGACTTGGATGGTGACATAGCTGGGGAGTTCAAGCTGGTAAGGCAAGCCATACTGAGAAGACAACATGTGGGAAGTGTGCAAAATACTGTTTCCTCAACTCCAGCTCCATTTCCTCTGTTGGGACCAAAGGGCCATTTTCCAACTAAAGCCTCTAAGAGCACCTCCCATCAGAATGCTGCCACAGACCCAAAAGCTGGGCTGGCAGGGCAAGAAAAGTCTTCCTGAGCCAGGGTGGTATAGTTTGCATACCTCTCTAAGGAAAAGCATCTCTGTGCCTCTCATCTATTGAGCAATTATAAACAAACAAAATCGATAGGCATGGTGGCATATGCTTGTAATCCTAGCACTCAGCAGGAGAATAGCTGTGAGTTGAAGGCCAGCCTGGGCTACACCAATCCAAGGCTAGTCTGAAGTATATAGCAAGACCCTGTCTCAAATAACACAAAACAAAACAACCCCCCCCCCCCCGCAAAACAAAACCATAAGAGACAAAATCAAAGTGACAGATGTGTTCTTAGGGACTGCCTATTCAATATGATGAGAGGCATGTAGAATTTGGAATCAGAGTCCAGACAATAATCTGTTACTTGAATGACCTGAGTAAATGACTTAAGCCCTGTCAGCCTCAGCGTCCTCTGGGAAGATCAGATGCAATCATGCATTTAGCAGCACTTGACACAGTTCCCTAGCACACAGTAGATGCTGAGCCAAATCATCCCTTCCTCATTCTACACCCTACTTCAGAGTAGGGAACAGAAACCTAGATGGGTGAACTTGCCCTGGGCCACACTGCTAACCTGGATGGGTAGAGGGTGCAGAATCCATGTCCTCTGACCCTCATCTGGGGATGTCTCTACAGCCCACAGAGCCCTGGCTCTGAAGCAGGGCCTGTCCAGAATGCCAGACACAGGGATCCTGCTCTTCTGGGAGGGCTGAGCCCAGTACAGGGTAACCTGGGAGGGGGAACAGGAAGCTTACCGCATACTGTATTTTTCTCAAGGAGTTTCCAGTGCTTCTCAAGCACCATCACATTTACTTACTGGAAGCCACTGTGCTACAGCAAGAGCATAGGCTTGGCATCAGAAAGATCTGTGCTCAAGTCATGGCTCAGCCTTGGAGTACACCTGGCAAGGCCTTTTGTCTCTCTGATTAATCTGACTTTATAGGATTGTTATGAAAATTGAATAGATTATGGATGCAAAATGCCAAACACAATGCCTGACACACCATAGGTGCCTAATTAATACTAGTTCTCTTCCTGTTCTTCCAGCATCCTCCACAAGAGATATAGAAAGAAAAACTGGGCTGCATGACTGTCAGGGGGCTCAAGGCCAAAGCTCTACCTGTAGTTTAGAAATTGCATTATTTTAGTGGTTTGAGCTTTCATGGAAGACAGAAAAGCACAAGTCAGAATTATAGAAACAGTAATATATCCTCAGGACCTAGGCACTTTGCAGCCTTATTTAACCCATACAATAACCATCTGGGAAAGGTACTGCTACTCTTTGCATTTAAGGAAGAGGTCACCAAAGGTTGTGGAAATTAATAACACTGATCATTATCATCCAGCTAATTACTACAATTTGAACCAAGTCTTGGTGACTTTCAAGTTAATACCCATTGTCCTATATAATCTCAAACACCGAAAGGAAGGTACATTAGGTGGAAAGAAGTTAGAAGTGGCCAAACTACACAGCTGTATGCAAACCCAGAGTGCCAGCCACTCCCCTCTCCATTTAGTAGAAAGTCTCCAATTACTCTGTGTCTCCAAAGACCACAGCCACCAGGACTCCAGAGGAAATGAATGGTTATTCCTACTTCGAGTTTTCAAACAGGGCTGAGAGTTAGGCAAGCTCTCTTAGCTTCCTAGGAATATTAATAGAAAATTGTTCATGGTTTGTCAGAAATGTAATGGGAAAGAAGAGGGAGGGTAACTGGTTTTAAGATGGAGCCCTGGGTACTGGACTCATATTCTGGGAGGGGCATGCTTTGAGGTGGACGGAAGTCACTGTGTGATGATAAATAGAAATGAAACCCCACAGGGGTGAGGATGCAACCCTTCCAAACCTGCTGAACTGCTCTCTACCCAGCTGGTTTGAGCAGGAGTTCAAATCCTAACAGCAGTAAGATATATAATGATTGCTACTCCATCACTGCCTCTTACTGAGCACAGTCTTCATGGCAGACCCTGGGATAAAATTTTACATGCATCATCTCTGATCTTTTTTTTTTTTTTTGTGGTACTGGGAATTGAACTCAGGATCTTGCACTTGCAAGGCAGGTGCGGTGGCACTGAGCTAAATCCCTGGCCTGCATCACCTCTGATCTTTACAAATTATCAAGGTGAATGCTGCAGGTATGTTGAAAACACACATCTCGCTGCATGGAGCACAGCAGAAAGAAGCCTGCATGCCAGCCCTCTGGATGCACATGTGCTGAGGCCACAGCTCCCAGGCTGACCCCACCATGCCATGACTGACTGGCAGGGCTAGTATAGCAAGCTTGGTCCCACGGGACACATGACTCCTCTGATAGTTCACATAGTTTGCAATGCAGTCTAGGACTCTTCCTCTCTGTTTTCTGCCCTTCTGTCTCTTCCCATGGGTGTCAGACCTGCACTGAGTACTCTCTGCCTACTCCAGTGCTTTCCTGGACACTTCACAGGTGTTTCCCCCAATGATTCTCTTGCATGCCCAATCCTATCTTGGTGCCTGCCTCTTGAAGGACCTGAATGGACAGTGGGCATTAGTCCCAGCTCACAGATGAGAAAGTATTGGATCAACAGTTAAGCAACTTTTCTAAGTCCCACAGCCAATGAGTGGCAAGATCTGGGGTTAAGCACAAGTGTGTTTGCATCCACCAGCCAAATATTTCTAACACAGCAGAGTGACCTTCACAGGTTAAAGTTAAGGAAGTAGTGACATATTTCAGTTTGGTTCCCTCACTTTATAAATGAGAAACCTGAGAGCACCAAGTGAAAGATTAGTCCAGGGCTTCCAATGCAAGGGCAGAGGTGGGTGTGGACTGTCATTTCCCTCCTTTGGATACTGAGGGAGGAGGCCACAGGGAAGCTGCAGAGTATGGAGTGAGCCACAGGCCTGGGGGAGCCAGGTTGGGATACTTAGTGTCTGGCTCCCCAGCCTAGCAGAGGACTAGAGAGGACCCCAGCAGGGGCACTCACTGTGGGGAGAACAGAGAAGAGCAGTCATAATGTGGGCATGACACTGTTATGGCCAGCGTGGGATCTGCTGGACACCTTGCCTTGCCTGAGGCTTCTTCCCTTTTCCTTCTATTGGCCCTTAAGCTCCCAGGAGACAACCTCCCAGCCACACTTCCTTCTGGTTCCAATCCCTCCTTTTCATTGGCAAGAGTCACTCTGACTTGTTTTCTTTTTTTAGGTACTGGGGATCGAACTCAGGTCCTTGCACTTGTGTAGCAGGCAGCGAAACCACTGAGCTAAATCCCCGGCTTATGTTTTCTTATAATTACAAAATTGTTTAGGGCCTGCCTATGAATAAAAAGTACATATATGTTTATTCAGAGCTCACTGAAGAATTAACACAGCCAAGAACCATGGGGACAATGAGGCATTATGTCTTGGAATGGTGCACCAGACATGCTCAAGAATGGATGTGATGGCACAGGAGAGTCCAAACTGATGTTCTGTGGAAACCCACAGCACTGGCTAGTAGGCAAGGATCAAAACAGTGCCAGGCCAGAGGCTTCTGGCAGTAGGTTCTGTGCATCCTGATGGTGGCAGCAGAGACCAGTGCAGGAGCCACATGGTTCCCTTGCATAGACCACTGTGGCCTGCATCCAATCAATTTCTGTTCTCAGCACATCTAAAACACTTAGCTGAGAGTGTCTGGCAGCACTCTGGAGACAAAGCATTTTTTAGCCCTGGAACAAAGATACCCTTCCAGCTACTGGGTGGGGCTTGTGATCTGGAAGGGCAGCTGGGCAGTTGACCCTCTTCTCACTCAGGCAGACCTGGGCTTTGTTATGCTTACCCTTTGCATCCACAGAAGCATGGGAATCTCACCCTGACCAGCAGCCCCAGCTGGAGAACACAGGGCTAGGGCTGGGGGGGGGGTGGTTTCTAAACAGCCAGAGGAGAAGTCTACACATGTACTTTGCAACTAGCCCAGAATACCGGAAATGTCTCGAAAGATAGCAAAGGATGGCATCTTCCTTTGAGGTCTGTAGAGTGGCTTGAACATAAATGGAGCCACTGGGTGTGCTGCAATGTGGGTTCCCAGGTCTGGAAGAGGTCTACTTGCCTGATCACTGGACAGGGCTGGGCTATGAAGGTAGCCCAAACATATGGGGATGTTTAGGGAGAGAGCATGGGGTTTTGCAGCTGGACAAGTCTTCTATTGTAATGTCCTTCTCATTAGAGCCTTCAGAGGATTCAATCTCACAGGAGTTGAGGCTACAATCAAGGCCCCAGAGCTGACGTGGAGGCAGCCAAGACCAAGGCAGGAGTGAGGAACCTCCTGTATGAGTGGTGGTGAACCTATGGCACATGTGTTGTTTTTCTTTTAAGACAAAAGATGTTAGTGTATGAGCTGTTTTTTTCTAAGCTAAAACCTCGGTATTTAGGTTTAATTGTGGTATTGGCACTTTGTGATAAATAAGTGGGTTTTGGGCTGCAGTTTGGGCACTCATCTCTAAAAGGTTTTCCATGACTATCCTATATAGATGGTAGAAATGCTAAAGGGCCCTGCAGTTCCCAAGCAGTTATAAGAGTCCAGTTTGAACAAAGTTTGTATCTTGTTTTAGAAAATAGTATCTTCTACCCTTACAGTGCCAAACACATCTTGAAGGTACAGTTCTGAACCATGTTCTTGCTCTGTCTTGGCTTACATTTGTATCCACTGTGGAGGCAGCTATTGGCCTTTCAACTTTGCAGCAAGATGTGATCTAATTTCAAACTCATCTCTCAAAAGGAATAGGGGAGAAGTAGGATTCATTTCAGAATAGACAAATCCAGGTGGCCATGGCCTGTGGGAACTGGCTAGGTTTATCCTGTGCTGTCCAGCTCAGGCAGGGCAGACCTGGGTGGATATAGGGTATGGAGAGTTGGAGGGGAGCCACAACACACGTCTGATTTCTTAGTGTCTGGCAACATGCGTGGGCACACAGTGGGCACACAGGAAATACTGTACTCCATGGAATCAAACAGATTTTGAACTTCCTGATTTGGGCTGACACGCTGTATGACTGGGCCCCTGGGCAAGTCACTTTTACCTGGTGACTTACTCCCCAGCTGTAAGGTGTGAATGTTGACCAGAGCCACCTGGCATCTTGGCCAGGGTCTGCTTGCTTGTTTCTGTTTTTATTTTCTATAGCTAGTCTGTTTCAAGAATAGAATGATGAAAAGTATTGGAAATTCTCTTTGTAAACTAGAGAATTCCATGTACATGTAAGGAACAGAAAACTAGAAAGCTATGTTTCATGTTGTTACTTCTCAAATATGACCATTATTAATAATTTATTGGCCAACTGAACTACATTTCTCATTATCATTCTTCTGCTTTAGAAGCAGGCAATCACAGTTTAAAAAAATGTTTTCATGAGAGACAGTAAAGCTGCTTTCGTTAAAGATGAGACATGCAACTTGCAAATGGATTTGCTTTTCCCGAATTGAGTCCATGAGCAGAAGCAGGCTGCCCAAGCCCAAGCATGGAAACCTTGATTTTCTCAGCAAGCTGGGAGAAGTGGCTCCTGCAAAGAATCTAGACTCCAGATTAAAAAAAGATCTGGTTAGAGAATAATGTGGAGCAGAAATCATATTAAAGGCTTAAACCTCCCATGCTAACCCATGGCACAAGGAAAGGCTGGGTGTCCTGGCTTCACAGCCTCCCTTGTGGGAAGCCTCTGGGGCTTCATTTATCTTGAGATCAGGGTGGGCCAATGGTATGACTTAAGCCAGTAGAGCCAACAGGCCTGCTGCCAGCACAGGCTGTCTGAATGTGACGAAAGGATCCACTCTGGCTTCCTCTGCCATGACCTTGCCTGTGCTGGAAACTAGACTTCCTTTTGGGCACCAGGGATAAAGTGGTGGCCATTTGCGGGTAGATGGAGCAAGACCAGGGCAATGCAGCCCTTTGAAGGAGATCTGAAGGGATAAGAAGGGCAGCTTGGAGGAGGAACACTGCCTGCTCTTGAGAGCCATTCTGCTGCTTCAGGGGTGTTAGAGGGACTAGTTTTATGTGGTTTCAGAAGGTGCAGCTTAGGACCATTGGGAGGAAATGACAAGGAGGAAACTTCAGGTCCCAAGAGAGCTGGATAAGGTCCAGGATCAAAGGAAATGGGCTGTCCAAGGAGTAAGGGGTATGGGGGAATTCCATCCCTAGCAGGGTTCAAGGAATGGCTGGATAGTGACCATCTGGGGTGTAGTGGGGCTGAGTACAGTAAGATGGCTCCAAGATTACCAGAGAAACTGAGAAAGGAGGGTCAGGTCCATGGCAAGACAAAAAGGAAGCCCTAAGGTTCTGAAAGGTTATGTCAAATTCTTTATGGGGACATCAGGGAAAATGCCTTTTGGTGCCTCACTCATAGAGGGACAGGTAACAGCAGGAGGTGCTGTTGGCCTGGGAGAGCAAAATATATGATAAAGTACACAATGCATCCAGCTTCATACCACCTAGGAACAGATAAAATGGGCTGGGGGTTGTGTGTGTGATGGGGAGGTAGCTCAGATTCACACAAGCTTCAATTTAGCTGCAAGATCTGTTCTTGCCAAGGCCAGTGGAACTTCTCACTACATAAAAAAGCTTTATATCCTCTTTCTTCTTAGGGGAAGAGGGAGGAAGAGGAGAGATGGAGGAGGAGAGAAAAGAAGACACAGAATGAACATGGAGAAGTAGGAGAGAATAGGAGGACTTTGCTAGTTGGAGGCCATAAATCTGGAGGTGTCAACTTCTACCTGTGGTGTCTTGGTGCTGTGTTGCGCTAGGCAGTGGCAGGCAGTGCTTGAGGCAGGCTGGTGTCATGACAGAAGCACTGGGCTGGAGGCCAGGGCTGAGCTCGCATCCCAGCTCTGCCTCTAATTCTGACCTATCTTTTCTCTAGCTTGACATTTCTTTCTGCAAAACGTAGGCCTGGATTAGCCCACCTATAAGGTCCTCCCCAGTCCCTGGGGTTTGGGGCTTCATGACTAGTGAACATTTCAGCCTTGGTTTGGCAGAGACTAGGACCAGGGACAAGGACAACCCAGGACTGTCCTGTTAAATTGTGTTGTAGGACTCAATGAATTTTTGTAGTCCCTTGGTGGGGACTGCTCAACTCCAGGGCACAGGAATATGGGGAAGAAGAAATGTAGACATGGTAGAGGGAAAGGAAGGAGTGATGTGAGGGGGCATAAGGAGACGGCAGGGCACTCACAGCAGGAGGAGATGGGCACACTGATGGCTAGGATCACCCAGGCAATGTCCATCTTGCTCAGGCAGATGGTGGCTCTGTGGTGGGGCTTGTCCCCTTCGGCCACATGGGAGATGTTTGCTGCTGTTCCAGGCTTCCAGGTCCCAGCAGGGACCAGGCGGTTGAGGAAGTTTCCTGTGGCTGTAGACACCACTGTGGAGAGAGGACTGGGTACCCTGTCGGTCATGAAGGGGGAGGCTGCAGCCTCCTCCTCAGCTAGAGAAACAGTGCTTTCTGAGACCCCAGGGGGATGGGCTGGGGCCTGTGGAGTTGTGGATGTTCCCTGAGGAATCCCCTGGGAAGGGGCTGAGACAGTGGCATTGAAGGCAGCCTGGCTTGGCCCTATCACAGCTGTAAAGACCTTAGAGCTGGCAGACAGAGGTCTGTTGGTGACAGAGGTGACAGTAAGCCAAGAGTCACTGAGGCTGGGGCTGTCCTGTGTGTCACTGTGGGGGTGCTGAGAAGGCACTGGGGTGGCTTGTGAACTGATAGGAGCACCTGCAGCTGCAGTGGTATTCAGCTCCCTTCCTGGGCTGGTGAAGATGGAACCACCCCCTTGGTCTGCTGTGCTAAGTCCTGGCTTGTCCTCTGCAGGTACAAGGAGGGTGGTGGGTGGCACCCATGAGGTACTTCTGGGTGCTGTGGTTGCAGCCACTGTCTGGGGCTGTGGCAAAGAGAAGTATGGGGTCCTGGGGGAAAGAGTAGAGGGATCTGACTCCAAAGAGCCTGTGAAGTTGCCCTTGTAGATCTGAAAGATTTTCCCCAATGGGCGCTTCTGCCCCAGGTGTGTGGAGCTCTGATTTCGTCCCCGCTGGCCTTCCTTCCTCCCAGAGTGGCCACCAGGTGCAGGTGGGACAGGGCGCAATGAGGCCCCAGTCCCCTTTCGGGAAGAGCCTGGGAGTCGTGGGGGCCTGCGAGTGATAGCCCGAGGGGCTGCTGTGGTGGGGTGGCTGGTGGTTCCTGTTGGCTTTGTTAGCAGGATGGTGGGGGCAGCATCCCCTGGTGGTCGGCTCTCTGAGTGGGAGGCTATGGTTGCCATAGTAACTGGAGGGGAACCTGTGGGCAGGGGGCTTTCAGAATGGGGGATATTTGCTGTCACTATGACAGTAGAAGTAGTGTTTATAGGAGGGTGCCTGTCTTGATGGGGTATTGTTGTTGCCATGGTAGCTGTGGCCTGTGAGGGTCCATCAGGAGCAGGGCCCAGTGTCACCACAGAGGAGTGTGTGGTCTGGCTGTGGGGTGCGGTCACCATGGTGCCTGGGGGACTGCCTGAGGGGAGGACCTGAAGAGATTCCGGTTCCTGAATAGCAAGTACCAGCGCTTCGGTCAGTGCCACGGTCAGGAGGAAGCCTGGAAAAGGACACAGAGAAGAGATGTGAAATACCCAGGGAGCAGCTAACAGGTAGGTTCTCCTTATCCACGACCTTGAACACTCTGGGAACTCAAGGAGGATATCAGGCACATTCTCAAGGCCCACACTGGCACCTGGCACTCTATAAGACACAGAATCTTTTGTGGAGTGGGGACATGCCTAGTAGGTTGGTGCTAGAGAGCTGGTCAGGAAGAAAAACCAGAAGAGAAGTCAGACTGGTTGGTCATGTCCTTCCCCAAATGCCTCTTGAACTCTAGAAGCCCTCCACCAAAGCACAGCTTCTCAGAGTGCAGGATGGTTGCAGCTTCTACACCTACCTCTTCTGCAACCAAGGTTGCAGGCCAGCTCATCCACAGAGGAAGTGTGAGCCACCCAAAGCCAAATGAGGAAGGCTACCCAATTCCTGTTCCCTTTTCCCAACTAGAGAAAAGTATGGAAGGTCTGACTTTCATTCATTCAGACTCACTCAGCAAACAACCAAAGGAAGTTGACCTTCTCCTCTTCCCTGGAGGATACAGAAATGAACAGGGGAGACTCCAGCCCTGGATAAGTTTGGACAAATCCACAAACAATGCTAAAATAAGGCAGAGATGTCTCAGTGTGATAGGAGAGTGGCAGGCAGAAGGGAGCATGGGTCCAGAGAAGGGCAACCAGATTTGGTGCCCTAAAACACATAGTACAGAGTCTGGATTAGCAGATGCATTCTATAGATGTCACTGGTATTTTAGTGTTTGTTGTTATTCACTGCTTTTCCTATGATATGCATGTGGCTGAAGTATGTGGAAAACTCTCATTGGACATACCCATTCTTTCTGAGTAGGAGTCCTTTTGAATATTATTAAAAGAAGAGTTTGCATGATAGTCAATGTGTGTACTTTTGTTCAGAAAATGCAAAAGGATAAAAACCTACAGATTTAAAAACACATAAACATGTATGGTTTTATTAGTCACAGCATCATGTACCAATATTTAAAAAGTACCTCACGCAAACACATGATGTAGGACTCACTCAGATCATATACTTGGAGACTGGTCATTCTAACACATGGGCTCAGAAGGGCTGGTCTGCTGAGAAGTGGCCAGACAGTGCTCTATGGCCTGGTTCTGACTTGTTTACTCCTCTTCGTTCATATGCACTGCCTTTTCTGCCATTCTCAGACTTTCCTTTGGCCCCAGTGAATCCCCAAGACTAACTCACTTAGAGCTCTTCTCCCTCATCAGATCTGAGCAGGACAAATGGCAAAAGCAGGTCCCTGGCTGGGATACCCACATACATTGTGGGATGGCCAGAAAGGCTGTTGATAGGAGAAGGCAGGGCCTTGCCTGTGACTTTCAGGATCCTGGGGAGCTTGTAGGAAGCATGATGGGGAAGAGATCTGCTGCTGGTACAGCTGTGACCCAAAGCCCAGCATCACCATTAGGTATGTAGCAGAAACTTGCAGTGACCTTGTGTCCCTCACCTGCACTTCTAAATGGTAGGGAAGCCAAGGGACTTGGGCTTGGATATATGCTGCAATGCTCACCATCTCTGGGATGAATGGCTTGTCCCAATAAATCTACTTTTCCTAAGCTTTCATCCATGAGCCAGACCACACATCGACAGTGTGCTCTGCTTATTCAAGTCAATAAAACATACTCGATTCAATACTCAGCCATTTGGCAGACTGCGAAATTGGGGCTCAGGGAGGTTAGATAACTTGTGCAAAGTCACACGATAGCGAAAGTATGTGAACCCAGGGCTGTTTCTAAAATGTGTGTTATTCCTGGTCAACTACTAACAACAATGCAAGAGGAGGAAGAGGACTCAAAATGCATTCACAGAAGGAACAGTGTGCTTTATGTTATGATCAGTTCAGGGTTATTCTAGCCCCTTTGCCCCCACACCTTGCCGCTTGGCACCACAGGGATAATCTAAGGGCTGGTGGTAGCAACCTCTGATGTCCTGAGAAATGTTCCCTTACAAGCCCATTGGTTCAATATAAATGTTGTTAAGAGTTGAAATTTGTTTGTCAGAGCCCCAACCCCAGTATCTTAGAATATGACTTTTTGGCAACAGGGCCTTCAAAGAGGTAAATAAGGTAAAAATGAGGCAATGGGGTGGGCCTTCATCCAATCTTACTGGCATCGTTCTCAGAAGAGATTTGGACGTAGACCATGACACTGGGAGCGTGGGCACATGACTTTGTACAAGAACAAATCAACAAGCAGGTAGCCATCTGCAAGGGGAGGGGAGGAGCTTTAGTGGACCCCAACCCTGCTGTCACCTTGGTCATGGACTTGTGGCCTCCAGAACTGTGAGGAAACAATTGTCAGTGGCAAACAAACACATAGATCTCATTAGGGGTTCTCTGAGAAAGAAGAGATAGAGACAAGGGCTTGTGGGTAAGAAGTTTATATTGGGAAATGATCTGAGGGTCAGCTGTGGGGTCTGAGATGAGTGAAATAGGAAGAACCAATCCAAGGGGAGCCATGAGCTGGGTGAGGTGGCTATCAAAACTCACTGGGAAGACACCATCTGCCTGAAGGTGTCCCCCTACATTTCCTAGTTTTATAGGGCTGTCAGAGAAGTGCTGGCCTGAGGTGCTGGCAGGTTATGCTTGCACCCAGCTGGTGGCTGCTGCAATGGATGGAGTGAAAACAAAGGGCCCAGAGGATCGCTGGGGTGGAGCATCAGATGTGTCCCATATAGTCAGGGCCCAGAGATGGAAGATGGAGAAGACTTTGGCAGCAGTCAAGGGTAGCGTGAAGGTTTAGAAGAGAGACCCCATCCCCTCCCAGAGACAGGTTTGTGGTGGCAGAGGTGCCACCTGAGCCTCCAGGATAACTCCTGCAGTACTCAGAGGCAGAGGGGTTTTTAAAATACTAAGAAATTTGGGCTGGGGGTTTAGCTCAGTGGTTTTGCTGCCTGCCTCAAAAGCGCAAGGTCCCGAGTTCGATCCCCGGTACCCCCAAAAAAGACAAAAACCAAAAAACAAAACTAAGAAATTCCTTTCCACTTTCCTACCTGGGGCACTGCAAATCATACCAGCTGGACCCATGAACTTACAGAGTCAGTCATCTTATCTGCCCTCTCTGCTGCTGCTGTTTATGTCTTCACTTGTTAGCATCCCTTGATGTTATTTTTTTTTTTTTCCCTAGGAGGAAATTAACCTCTCAGTCACTTCTTTAGACTTTGAAGTTAATCTTTGAAAAAATGAATGGGAACTGCCATCCTAGGTGCCATAGTTTTTACCAGCAGAAGAACATTTGGATGTCACAGCGAGAGGCCCTAAAGTTCATCTAAGCCAATCCCTTCCTTGCATAGGGACGATTGGAAGGAGTGAAGTGACTTGCTCAGAACATGCAGCTGGCTGGGGAGACAGCCTAGATCACACTGCAGCCAATATTTCAAAATAACATCATTTGTATCATAAAATTGCTACAAGGTTCACTGCTCAGACATCTCCTTCAATCTCTGTCACCTTCATTATAGAAATCAGACAATTTACCTCTCCTTGGCACAAAAGGTTAACAACAGAATGGGACGTACACTGTCACAGTAAATGTGCAAGGCCTTCAACTCTGGCTCTCCTAACACATGCAAATTTTCATTCAAGGCCTTTTGTGCTGGCCTACATACTCCCCTCCCCACAATCTGGAGCTACTGCTTCTGTGCATATTATTTGCATAAATTTGCATAACGGCCTCTGGAGGCCCCAACTTCAAACATGTATGAGAAATTAAAACTAAACTTTAGCTTGTCATACTTAAAATGTGGAAGTGACTTTTAAAACATGTCAGAATATAAGGACAAGCATGTGGGGTGGAAGCCCACAGACTGATGGGTGCCCAGATGTTGTAGGAAGGCTGCCCCATCCCCAGAATTCCAATGCATACATGATCTCAGGAGCCAAGAGAAGGAGAGGGCCTCCTCCTCCTCTTGTGTGTTTGGTGGCTGCCCACAGTCCATATTGGATATGGCATTTGCATCTGGCAAAGGCAACTGGTAAAGAAAAAATATCTAATTATTGTATAATGCACAGAACACTCTCTGTATGTCACAGGCTACTCTAAAGTCTAAATCACATATGAAATAAATCTGTAGTCCTCCTGGCAACCTGATGGGGCAGGTGCTATTATTAGATCCCTTTTGCAATTGAGGGAATGAATCCAGAGAGGCAGAAGATCCTGTCCATGGGGTGTCCTGGGTACACAGCTGGGTAATTGTAAACTGGGGTTTGAACCCAGGAAGCTGGGCCTCAGTCTACAGCCTGAACCACTTTCACTCACCATTCTGCTCTGCCACCCCTTCCCTCTGCATCCCTCCCTCCAAGGATGCTCTGCATAGTCAAGAGTCATGATCTGTAATTTTTGGGAACTGATTTTCTATTTTGGTCTCTTATCTGTTTTCTTCTATCTCTACTCCAGGGATCCTTATGACACACTTGGGGTGCTTTTCACAATTCATTAATTTATTTTGCAAGTACAGTAACTTGAGGGAGGTTATAGTAGTACAATAAAAGGTCTGGAAGCACATACTTTAATTCTCTTTTTTTTGGTACTGGGGATTGAACTTGGGACCTTGTGCTTGCAAGGCAGGCAGCAGAACCACTGAGCTAAATCCCTGGCCCCTTTAATTCTCTTTTATCCCAATCCTGATATCCCATGCATACCTTTGGAAGAAGAAAAATAATATATATATATATATATATATTTCTTAAAGTTACTATTGTAAGTAATTTTCCTTCCACATTAAATTATGTTTCTATTGCCAGATATATGTCCATTGTCTTTTTAAACTTTTGTGACAGAGAATCACTGGTGTCTGAAACATCTGTCACTAAATAAGACACCCTGGCTATTCCAGACACTTGGTATGGTGATTTTAAGTCACATCTGCATGTTCCTGGCCTCCTCCTTCCCATGGAGTCTGTTTCCCCTTCCTTTGAGTCTATGTGGGCTTGTAACTGCCTTGAACAGACTGAGGCAGAAGTGATGC